AAAAAAAAAAAAAGTTTAAAACCATGGGCGAATGGAGGCCACTACAGAACCAGAGTATGCTCCAGGGTTACTTTCGCTCCCACTTGGAAGAGTGGGTTTTGGGGCGAAGTAGCCAGTTTTTTGGAGAAAGGGTGTTCAAGACCTACCGTACCTAGTTCTTACGTCCTTGACTAATAATAAAAATTTTTAAAGCCCCTCCACTTCCTATTTGTCTCCCCTGCTCAGTAAGGTACACTTTGTAGAATAGTTCCTATAGGCCTCCTTCGGGCAGCACATACAGAGGAACAGCTCCTATAATTTCTGTTAGTCTTCTCAAGAACACTGTGGAATGGGAATTCGGATTCCTTTCCCATACATGAGGAAACAGGTGAAATGACTTCAACGTGAAAAACAGCAGAGGCTAAAATCAGATTCCACATACAGGTAATCATTCCACAGCACCACGACTGACTGCCAGTGAAAACTGCACCCCGGGCCCCCACTGAAATAGTACTATTAAAAATAACTTGGCTTATGGAAATACTTCAAACAACCTATACTAAAATGATACAAGAGTACAAATTTATTAACTCATAAATCAGGTTAGATCAGGCTGATGGTGTAGACTAATATACTTCCGTCCAACTAAATGGGCACAGATTAAAACTGAATAGCAATCTCTGGACTGTTAAAATTACTAAAGAGCATGGTATATTAAATTCTCTTAAGAATAGGAAAATGGGGAAGGAAAAAAGAGCTTTCACAAGGAACTGCTTGCTCTGAGTACTGAGGCTTAAGAGAGTAACTGCTGGGTGAAACCTGCACGCACAGGCACATCCTGGGGAGCAGTGAAACTAGATCCTGTTAGCGATAACACAGGAGTTATCAAAATGCTTGTCACACTGGAATTTCCTTCTATTGACTGTTCTTTAAGTAAGTAGACAGCTGACGCTTAAAACGCATCAGCACAGCAATAAGACCATAAATATACAGTTTTATGAGTATATTTTTACAAGGTAGGATTTCTAAGAATATATGTATTTTCATTGTTGTATTGATTTATTTCATGATGTCGTTTTTACCCTGGGACTTCACAAAGTTAAAAACTTCTTAGCTCCCTACCTACCAACTCATCAGTAATAAGACGTTCCAAGTTGGTGTACACTGAAAGGAAAATTGTCAGAGTGAAGTGAATCTAATAATTAAGTCTGGAGGGATTGTGTGTAGGAGGGGGCGATGGTGAGGCTCCCTAGATATGCTGGAACATTGTATTATTCTGCCCTTCCTTAAAGCTGTCACAGTTAGGAAATGCAAGCCCCAGCATTCCCCAGTGAGAATCCCTCCTGCCATAAAAGGCATTAAACACCCACAGTATAGTGGAAAGAACATAGGCTTTAGAATCACCTCAGAATCCAAAAACTATTACTGCCACTTGCTAGTTTTTCAGATCACGTGGTATCTCTAAGCCTCAGTGTTTTGCTCTGTAAAATGAAAAGTGTGATGCGTTTGGTTACAATTAGGTAATATATAAAGCAACCAACATTGTGTCCCACATAGTAAGTGCTTAATAAACGGTTGCCACTGTAACATGGAAGAAGAAGACCATGCTTATTTTGATGCCTTGGATTTTAAAACCTGGGCTCAAGGACAAAGTTTTAGATAAACTGTCTCTGCAGGTGAGGAAGCTAGTACCAAAAGTTTAGCATTTCTACATCTAGCCCAAGGTAGACAGATGCATAAGAGCATATATCCAGGGGCTGGGGATTTAGCTCAGCGGCAAAAGCGCCTGCCTGGCAAGCGCAAGGTCGTGAGTTCGGTTCCTGGTACCGGAGAAAAACCCCAAAAAAAAAAAAAAAAAAAGAGCATATATCCTACTTCTGAACCCCTTCCTCTGTCCCTAAGCAAAGGAGAAAAGAAAAAAATCATATTCAATGAAAAGCCTTTACTTTTTTTAAAGCTATATATTTTCAGAGAAATGAACATTCAGAATATTCCATTAAAAGGCAAAAACACCTGTAAAAATCTATTCATCACAAAAGACAGAAAAATACCTAAGCCTTGATGAGATTAAACCAATTTCTTCCCGGGTATGAAGAAAATTCCAGTCGCCATATATTTTAGTGTAGCAAGATCAGTTAGCTTGGTAAGAGACTGAGAGACATTTAAGCAACAGTAAACTTGGCCTTTAGTTGTTTCAGTAGATGCAAAGAATTTTAAGAATAAATTCAGGCAATTAAGGCAATGCTAACATATGTTTATAATTTTATACTCAAATTATATAATCGTCAGGATTGTGCTAGAAACCAAAAGTGCTAGTCAAGGAATTTTCCAAACCCGAGGGTTTGGTTGAAAAGAGGCATGCGAAGGCTATTGTGACTTTCCTCATGATAGCCTGCCCTGTGTCCTCCGGGGGTGTGCTTTTATCTTGCCTTTTTCTCCTTTACTCAGGCCAAGCTTGCTCTGCAGAGCCAGTTTCTCCCTCACACTTCACTTTTACTTTTTCACATAAACTTTGTCACTACTAAAAAAAAGAAAGAGAAAATAAAAGAAAGAAAAGAGAAATACTGACATTAAATAGAACTTTACTGTGAGAAAGGGGAAGCCACTGATGATGGCACTAAAAAAAATGAAAGCAGAATTTTTGGAAGATTAACCTGAAAACATCCAAGACTCAAGGAAGAAGAAAGTTTCTTTACTCCTGCTGAGATTTATTGAGAAGTATATATTTCTTAAGATACACCTATATAAAAGTATAGCATATATATTATAATCTTATTAAACCATTTGACATAAAATATCTATTAAATTCCTCAGAAAATGTAATGTAGAATCATGACAAATATCCTCCAGAAATTGTATGTACTTGTCTATCAATCATCTGTACAAACTTACTGTAATGTTACAGCTGTGCTATGTAATTGTTAATGTGCTGCTTAGATACATTTTAGAGTGTCTCACTAGAACTTTAAAATCACTATGTATTTCTAAATGTACCACTGCTTTGGTGTTTTAATAATGATTACTTTGTTATAACAATTAAATGCTTTTAATTTAATTCCATATATCTATATTTTTATGAAGAATAACTTTACAAGGGCCTTTAACAGATGATTACTTCAGGTATATTTGCAGTTGTTTGAGAACACGATTTGTATAGTTTGTTTATTTGCAATTTTTTGTTAGGTTCACTAATCATTTATATCTTGAAGAAATATTTTATGATGACAAAACCATATTTTGCTGTAGAAAATCACTTTCATCTGTTGTATGAGTCATTTTTAGACTATTTTTTCTGCAAATAAGGGTGCAATATGGGTACAGCTTCTGCAGTTTTCAGTAGCTGATTCCTGTACATCAAGTATGCTCTATTTTAAAGTCAGTAGGACACAAAGAATTTTTGTTCTGAGAATCTAGATTTATCAGAAATCTGCAGAGCACTGCACAAGAAATACATGCCATATTTTTTAACATGAACCAGGTTGGGCCTCTCTGATATCAAAGTATTTTGTAATAAATGCCTTGTCAAAATGTGTTTATCTTATAATGGTCTTGTTTATAACACCATGCAAATTGCTGCTAGAATGCAGCCAGAGCTCCAGAAGTTTGGGATGGATCTAAATCAGCCCATATCTCTGCGAATTGGGCCAAAGGCACAGATCATGCTGAAGTTGCGTGAGACTAATTATATAATAGCAGCACATTTTAGGCAGTATGTGAAGGTCACTGACCTCTGTTGCAAAATCCAACAGACATTTTTTCAGTTCTCATTTTCCTTCA